GGTCCACTCCTCGGTGGCGTCCTTACCACCATCTGGAATTGGCGCGCAACCTTCTATTTTCTCACTATTATCGGCGGAGTCGTACTACTATCCCTATTCATGTTCAAGGATACGTTCAGGAGAGAGCGTAGTCTGACGTATCAATCAGCGAAGAGACACGCGGTCCGACGTGCCGAGGAGAAACGAGCCAAGCGGGAGGAGGATTCAGCTGATGCTGTGGAAAAGGGAGGAAGAACTACTAGCATGGACCCTGCAACAGTAAAGGTGACACTGATCGATCTCAACCCGTTCAAACCCATATGGAGCGTTCTCACTCGAAAGAACAACCTCTGCATCCTCTTCCCCTCAGGTGAGCCGGTGTTTGGGTACAATGAAAGTCATTGACATTATCCCTTACAGCATTACTCTTTGCCTTCCAATACAGTGTGTGCTTTACTGCTGCCAGGACTTTTGCCGCTGCCCCGTACAACTATGATCCCCTCCACATCGGCTTGGTTCTGCTCTCGTTCGGTTTAGGTAACCACTCTTTTTTCCTCTTCATTCAACTCTCCTCAATACCGTCTCCCCTAGGTAACATGTTCGGCAGCGTATTGGGCGGCAGATGGTCCGACTGGAAATACAACAAACTCCGAGTGGCGAATGGAGGGCATGGATGGCCAGAGGTGAGTTATTGATCGCTTCAGCGGCGCTATGTAACTGATTATATCTCGTAGATGAGGCTCAGAAGTACTATAGCAGTGATGATTGTACTACCACCATCTGTCCTTGCGTTTGCCTGGACCTGTCAGAAGCACACTCATATTGCGGGACCAGTCGTGACACTCTTTGTCTCCGGCTTTACTGTCCTGTAAGTAAAATTCTTATACATCCTCTCATAACGCTGGCTCATGATTTCTCCATAGCTTTATTTACAGCAGCACACTCGCCTACATTGTTGATGCTAACGCAGGTCGATCCACTGCGGCCGTAGCTAGCAATAGCTCTTTCCGCGGTCTTTCGGGGATGATTGCTTCGGAAATTGCAGCGCCATTGCAGGATAGCATCGGGGACGGTGGGCTGTACACTATGTGGGCCGGCTTATTGGTGGTTATGGAGTTGATGATCCTTGTCGTCATTTGGAAAGGGAAAAGTTGGAGAGAAGAGGCAGAAAAAAAAGAGCGTGTAGCCGCAGCGCGTAGAAGCTCTGCTGAGGAATCGAACGAAACCCGGTAGCGCGCAGCAGTGGGGTAAGTGAACAATTCGACATCGTGCCTCGGGTCTCTGAGCGGCTAATAGGGATTACAGGGACTGTTTACCAATCATCCTCTTTAATTATACATCAAAACGCAATGTATGCAGCACAGGAACAGGTCACAAGATGCATTATTTATCCCAACACAACTCATCCTCACGGTCTATTTAGATTAGAAGGTCTTCATTAGCATTTACATTCTTGATTAATACAAACGTTGTTGACCCAGAGCTGCTTGTACATATCAGACGAACGCGAGTAGCTTGCAATTGACTACTAGTTATACTTGAGCGCTGCGAATATATTTTGATGTCAAAGTTCGATAAGGGTCGTTGAAATGCGGTTATGTCAGTTTGAACAGTCGGATTTGATTCCCATGGCGCAAGAGACACCGCCGAGCGGAACGGCAGAGTCCACGTATAAGAACAAAGCAAGACTTCCTTGGCCTTTATCCTCTCCCCTCCTACGGTCACTTTCCCCTCTAATAGACCGTTTCATCTACGTTGTTATACCCACAACTGTCAACGTAGCTCATGGCATCACTATTTCGGAGAAACAAACGGGATGACGGGGCCCAGTCTCCAGACGATGATTCTGGAGGTAAGAAGAAGGCGGATTGGAAACGACCAGCCAGTAAGTAAACAAACTGCGAGTTGAAGATATCGATGGGAACGCTAATCCCTCTTCTATCTCCGTGTCCTGCGACATGGGTGAAATCTGCATTGGATAGATACTGCGTTCAAGCAGCAGCGATTAAAGGCATGGCAGCCTATCCTCACACCAAAGACGGTCCTTCCAACTCTTTTCATCATTGGAATAATCTTTGGACCAATTGGAGGGCTATTGATATGGGGCTCTTCCAAGGTCAGTCCACTGTTGCTGCCCTCTCTCCTACAGCAAAAATTGCTCGTCGCTAACGCCTCATATTCATACCGCTCCACATAGATCACTCAAATAACACTCGACTACACAGATTGCTTCAATGCTGGAGCAAACTTCACTTCCAGTAGCTCCAATTTCGTGGATATGCCATCCTCAGCATACGACTACCAGCTCCAAGATCCAGACCAACCATTCGCAAAGCCTCAATGGTCCTTCCAGTTGTTGACTCCCACTGCCCAACCGGACCCTACCGCACGGAACCAGTGCAGGCTGCGGTTCGAAGTGCCAAGCGACCTAAAGCACCCCGTGTTTGTCTACTACAAGATGACCAACTTTTTCCAAAATCACCGAAGATATGTGCAGAGTTTGGATGTGGATCAGTTGAAAGGGAAGGCGATCAGTGCCTCGAACCTGAATAAGGGAAACTGCAGACCTCTCGGCCATGACCCGGATGATGATAAGAAGGCTATCTACCCTTGTGGATTGATTGCTAACTCTATGTTCAATGGTAAGGATTCAATACCGACGCTCGCTATCCTCTTTACTGAACGCCATACCTAGATACGATCAATAGCCCTGTGTTAATTAATGGAAATACCAACACGACGTATTCATTCTCGTCCAAGGGTATTGCATGGCCTGGAGAAAGGAGAAAATACGTTGCCAAGCCCGGCTATACTTCTCTGACTGAGATCGTGCCTCCTCCAAATTGGCGTGACCGCTATCCTCAAGGATACACAGAGCAAAACCCACCACCAAATCTCGCTGATGATGAGCACTTCCACAACTGGATGAGGACGGCTGGACTACCCACCTTTTCCAAGTTGTACGGCCGAAATGATGGAGAGGACATGAAAGCGGGAACGTATGAGATCGACATTTACATGAGTTAGTAACCTCTACTTTCAGTATGCGAATTAATTTCTGACTACGCCGAATAGATTTCCCAGTCAAACAATACGGAGGCACCAAGTCTATCGTCATCTCGACGGTGTCGTGGATAGGAGGAAAGAACCCATTCCTCGGATACGCCTACGTCGCCGCTGCCGGTCTGTTCCTATTGCTAGCAACGATTGGTTTGGTATGGCACTGCCTCAAACCAAGAAAGTTGGGCGACATGAACCTGTTGTCGTGGAACCAACCTGGAGCTCGATGAATGTAACTATACGCCTCATCTCTCGGACAGCACTTCATCTTGGGAAGGTGTAGAGGTGGCCAGAGGAAGGAATCATGGAGTGTGTGTCCGGCGCTCATTGTTTGGCCTGTGTGCGGACGGAGAGCAGAGAATGGACAATGACAAAAGGGAAGGTTTCTTATTACGAACGACTCTCGAAATATTGGCGGTAACGTTAGATTCGTCTTTATTTTTGTTTCCCCCCTTTCTCCTTTACCTTATTGCGCTACGCTCATGTATTTCACGATCTGATCGGAATTGAAGACAAGATAGCTACCTACAAATTTCGCGGCGACACTAAGAGAAAGGTCGTGAGGAGCTGGATTCGCATTCAAAGGCGAGAAATGGACACTCGCGCTATGGTTTGACTTGATGTCGCAATTATGCCTTTCGCCTCGCGAGGCGGAACCATTTCGTGAGCCACCCAAAAGGGGCTCGCGAAGCGCCTCAAGACGGCAGTAAAAGTTTTTCGACCCCTCGGCTGACCGCTTCACGAACCTTGATTATCTCGTGAACCTGGCTCAAACTTTCCGACAGAGCGCCCCCGTGATGTTGGTTGACCACGACCGCGACAGTCCATATCGTGACGATAGTAATGACGAACTGTGAAATCATCAACATGGATCATGAGGGTGGTGAATCCCCAAAAATAAGCTTTTTGACGAACGACTAATTCATTTGTAATGGTCGATCGAAGCTTTCCAGGAGGCGGGTCTTTTTGACACCATGGTCGCGAAAAATCTAACCATTCCAAAAGTGTATGACGAATCAAAAGATAAAATTAGGAGCTTTCGGTTGATCCTTTTGGGGGATTAATAATACAAAGCCCCGCCGACGTTCTCATCGTCGATGAGTGGCAACTTGGATGTCATTTTTCAAAAATACTTTGTCATAGGCCGAATGACGAGTACGTGCTACTGAGTTCCAAGACTCCATTCTTTTGACTTTGATGATCTCTATGAACGGACAGACGTTGTTTCAACACGTTGGTGCAGCCTCATTGCAGAAAACCAAACGAAACCCCATTATTAGCGCCATGAGAAATGCTAATTCTCGTCATTCCGCAAAGAGGGGGGCGAGTTTCATGATGGATCTGGAGCCTCGTTGGCGGAACGTGAACGATTAGCCTAGGTCGGTTTGCCACACCCAGGGAGAATCGTCTGCCGGGCGCGTATTTGACGTCAACATCCTCTCGATCTCGACCACACGTGGTGTTAATGAAATACGTCAACTCGATCGATCGTTGTCAACATCCCTCTCGGCTTAGGGTATCGTCGAAAACACCTGTTGATTGCCACTACCACAAGGCTGTCAATCGTGGAGTTTCTTTACTCAGCATACTTCCACCAGCCAGTTTCTGCGTCAACAATGACGTTCACCTGACAAATCACCTCGTCGCTCATGGAAAGTTTCTGCGGTGCTGTCGACTTGGGGTAGGGGGTCCAAAGTTATATAAGGGGTCGAGTTTGAGCAAGATGAGGGCACCAAAACCAAGTCTTCTACCACATCTGCTCACTCAACCTTTTGCGACTCTACAACTCTTATCACACAATGTCTTTCCAAGCTGGTGACCACGTTGAATGTGAGTTGTTCTTTTTATCTCTCCGC